ATTTTGGCTCCTATGCATGTAGAGGGGATTTGCAATGTTTCTGTGCCTGGTGCTGATGAGGATATTTCAATGATTACAAGTGCTACTTTGTGAAGGAATCATGCAATGGGGGTTGGAAGGCTTGAGGAAATAGACACAAATGTGTCTTAGTGTTGTCGCCTCAACTGTTTCTTTTGAAAGCTTGTTCCAGTCCCTTATTGTCTTGGGCAGGAATGAGCAATTCCTATACTGGCTTCTTGCTGGTATGAGCCGGAATTTCCTGTCATGGCCTTCTAATCAAGGAGTGGCAGCATGACAAAATTAAAGGGAGCAGTAAGGGGTGCATGCCACGGCTCGACACTACTCAGGGTGAATGAAAATTATGTCAACACAATGGCTGTAACACTAAAACTGCAGTTTTTGTTTAGAATTACGGATTTGTAATTATTGTTTACTACTTAAAGTGGGTACTACCGTATGATGCTGTCTTAGTATTAGCAAATGAAACAGCACTGATTAAGATGGCCTATTGATCCTCAGTTTGGTCATTTTGAACAAGAAATAGTATTTCAGCATCTTGTTATCCAGCGTTGAATATATAAAAAATGTATAGCACCACCAGTTTTGAACGCGTGTCTTGTGCAACATTTCTTTTCTACATCCAGTTGAAAACTGTACAAAAGCCTGTGCAACAGTACACCTCAGCAAACATACAATGTATCGGTTAACAGGTTGCCATGTATGCTGCTTTAGGCCCACTGCTTGCATTCCAGTTTGTTTAATATTTTTAAATTGTGGATGTCCTACATGGCTGATCTATTTGCCAAATTGAAAGACAAAAAATTATAAGCCCCACCAAAAAGTTAGTGAAAATTTCATGAAGGAGATCGCTCTTTATATTTGGTTGCAATTTATCAACAAAAGTAAACAATGCCAAACATTTTTCTCTAATTCTCAGGTCTGACTGACTTTAATTGAATGATTTATATTATCTGATTGCTTGAAGTTTAAAAAAAATGCTCTTTGCTTTATAATTGTTATTAAACTTCCTGGAACTTTGCACCGTATAGTGCCTTAATTGGTAGTCTGCATGAAGTAAGCCACATGCGTACCAGGAGGGAGGGGGTTGGAAAAGATTTGATTTTTTGCGGGATGTCATTTGTGAACAACTCCATATGCACATATTGGTCATGCTATGGCTAATGTGACCTTTATCCTCTTAAAAAGTCCATGAGTGTCTGTCTTTGTTTGAGTTCCATACCATTGCGTCTCAGTCCCACATATTTCTTTCAAAACCCTTCCATTTTTATTGATGTAATTTGTTATTAAAGTATTTATAAATTTAATTTGAACATTTTCTTCAGCTGTTGTTTTTAGTTTGAAAAAAAATGTACAGTAATAATGCTCAGATTAAATGTAATCACTGAAAACAAAAGAAAACATATGCCCTCTCTCAAAACTTGGAAGTTTAACTGCAGCAGCAGACATGGTTCGGGGAGGTCAAAGAAACAAAATTCAAACAAACACCCAAAACTGAAACGCATGTTTTCTACTGGGTTTTTTCCCCCTCTTCTTTTGGTGACCCGGTAGTTTAGTTGGATTCTGACTGTAACATGAAATTTAGGAAACGCTGGTCTAGACTCTACCACTACTTACTAAAATACAACGTAACTCTAAGAGTTCGATGTATCATTGTGGCTATGTACAGGTCTGTCAACTAATACTTACAATTAAATAACTACTAATAATATATCATAACTTAGTTTTAGCCTATTAACATCTACATGCATAGGAGCCAAAATGATCAATAAATTGATTGTGGGCCCTTAAGATATAGAAGAAGAAGAAAATATAAGCCCATTAGTTGTTAGTATACTTTTAATAGTGGGTCAATCTGGATTTTAGGCACCCAGCAACTTAATTCTAACCTAAGGCAGGATAAAAGAAATTTAAAAAATGTTACTAAATGAGTCAAGTTAAAAATTAAATAAGTTAGAGACTTAAACTTAAAGAGGGCACGAATATAAATATGTGAATTATGAAGTCCTGAGGTTCTAAAAACCAAGGTGTTATCTAATTATTTTCATTCTTTACTTAAGCCTAAATGTTGCAATTAAATACATTTTTGTGATAAGGTGGTATTCAGGCCGACTCGCCTCAGAGGTTTGGTTGTATGCTTTACAGGTTTGCTAATAGCTAGCTTTTGAATATTACTTTAGGCAGATGTGATGGAGTCATAGTCACCACTAGGTTACATTTCTTAGTTAGTGCTAAAATAACAATGTTGTATTATAAAATATCTTTTATGACACTAGCATACAAATTACTTATGTCAAAATAATATTTTTAACATTTCTTTTCATTTGATCTATTTTCAGACTTTTATCTGCTGAATTTGGAATACATCTCCAAAAGCACATATAGTTCTTTGAAATTTGCAAACCAAGCAGGTTTATTATTTAATTTTCCCCCCATAATTCCAAGAAAATATACCGTAGTCAAAACTGTTAGGGTTAGAAAATTATTCCAGATCAACAAACAATCAAATTGATGTCATAAACCTTGGAGGTGGAACACATCTTAAAAAATCATCAAAGCTCAGTTCTGAACAACAATTTATAATATGTTACCATGGAGGATTCCATTATTGGAGATGGACAACAAGTTAGATCAAACCAAGAAATACCAGTTCACATGATGAGGAGGTTGCTGCTTGGAGATATTTCTCAAAATAATTTTATTTGATCAAAAAGACTAAATCATGATCTATCAAGATCTGAAATATGCTCAGCCTGGGCAAAATGCCAAGATGATTCAAATATTTCTAATATAAATAATAATGATTTTCTTAATTAATCATTATGAGAAAACAGCTGTAGGAAGATTACAAAGAAAACAACAAAGAAACTAGCATTTTAAACAGGAAGTTAATGATTAGTCAAGTAAGATGTAAATCACCAAAAGCTGTGAAAGTTAAACATAACAGAAAGTTTGACAGTGAGAGAGAAGAGGGAAAGTTCAATTATGGACTACCCTAAACATGGGACTGGTACCGTTATGGTAAGTGTTGGGAAAAGAAATGCCAAGAAGAAATATGGTGATGAATTTATACTATTCGATCGGAGGAAAACAAAAATTATTGGAGTTAAAACCTCAAAGGGAAATCATGAAAAAAAGAATTCGAGGAATAAGACTAAGCCAAGTTTCAATCAAAGGGAAGCCAAAAACAAAACCAAGATGGAAGATAATATGACATTACAAAAAGATATCCTTAAACATGTTACTTCATTCAGTGGAAAGGGAATTAAGAAAAATAAGGATTCTAAAAATCTGGCAAGCCATCAAAACCATTTAACCAAGGGCCTGAGTAATGAACATGCCATCGCTGAGAACGTAGCTGAGATCAGAGATGTATTTAGATGTAATACTTGCAATGGTTGCTTTTTATGGAAAAAGCCATTTCTGGATCACCTGATAATTCATCCTTGTAAACTGCCTTATGAATGCTGTATGTGCATGAAAAGATTTAGCACCTTTATCAGTTATCTGACTCATAAACAAAAGATTCATGTTTTAAAAAGTAGTTCTTCCTGGTCAAAGTTGAAGCACAAAAAGCCTGGTCAAGACGGAACTCATTCTCTATTCCCTTCTGACCAGAGCAATCAACATTTTATGAATATGTACAAATTGCTAAAGCACAAAGTGAAAACTCATCTGAAAATATTGCAGACAAAGGCTAAGCCTTATGCATGTAAACCATGTGGGAAATCTTTTAAAGACAGAAATAATTTATGGTTACACAAGAAAAGACACCCAAATGCAGTGAAGCCCTATAAATGTGATCTTTGCAATCGTGAATTTGCCGTTCATAGGTGGTTATCTGATCATATGCAACGCCACACCGTGGAGAGGAACTTTCCTTGTGGGCTATGTGGAAAAAAATATCTGACCCTAGGCGATGTAAGAATGCATGAACGCAGACACACAAAATTGGCCATATTTATTTGCTCTTACTGTGACAGGAAATTTATCTACCAGTCCGAGTTAAAAGCTCATCTTCAGAAGCATCAAGGCATCCGCTCAAACAAAAATATCAAGTGCGAAATGTGCAGCAAAGCATTTTCCACCAGAAGAGATCTAGGACGACATCTTACTGTTCACACAGGAGCTAAACCCTTTAAGTGTGAAATCTGTGAGAAATCTTTCTCTCAGGAAATCAATATGCAAGTCCACATCAAAATCCATAGAGGGGACAAACCATACCGTTGTGATATATGCCCAAAAAAATTCATTGCAAAAAGTAAACTCGTCCGCCATCAACGATGCCACTCCACCCCTAAAGGCTTACTCCCTAGACCATTCCAGTGCATACTTTGTCCAAAGAAGTACACTGCGGAAAATAGCCTCATTCGGCACCTGAAAATACACAAAAGCTCTCCAGAAACAGTCACAAAATTCACTACTGCTTTAACCAAGGCACTTGAAGACTCAAAGAAACCTGATTCATCTGCAAGCGCTGGTGGGGTACTTGCCAGCATGATTGACCAGGCTATCTGTGATGCACGCCAAATGGCAAGAAGAAAAAAGTTGTTGGGAATTAAAGATCCATCATTGGCTACCATCATTGACCAGGCAATTCATAACTCAATTCCTAAGTCCTCCTCCTCTTCTAGCACTCAAACACAAATAGAAGTAGACGAATTTACCACCCATATTGATCAACAAATTGAGATTATCCATGTTGATACACAACTGCCCTCAAGTTCTTCCGAGGACTCGGTCCCAAAGCTGCCTCTGGACTCAGGAGACAGGACTTCTTCTACAGACATCCCTAGAGACGCATCCACATGTTCATATCTTTTAAAACTTATCAGTGATGCTGTTAGTAAATCTAACAATCCAACTCGGCCTGCCGATTGCGCTAGTGAAAAATTGCCGCTTCCCATGCAATTTGAATTAATTTCCTCAGGCTCATCACAAACTGTCACAGTTGAGCCCAAAACGTCAGTCATTAATACTGCTCCAACCTTAAGTAATTCATACAGACAAATGAAGCATCGCAGAATTGTTTCACTTAATCAAAGAGCAGCAGCCGTCGCAGAGCAGTTAAGTTCAAATATAATTGTGCCTCCATCGTTATATCCAGAAATATTTCAACTCATGGCATCAGATGGCACTCCAGCAATCACCAATCCAAATCATGGATTGGCTGCAACTTCATCAAACAATTCATTAATCGTCTTCTCATCTCCACAATCATCGTGCACAGAAGTTTCTCCAACATTGCCCATTCTGCACAAAGCCCAGCATATGGTAGATCAGACGGCCATGTCAAGGAGTGCTAACTTGAACCAAGCTGTCCGGGTAAAGGATCTTGGTCTTACATGTGCTCTTGGGAACAGAATTGTGCATGATCCGGGATCTAACCATATTCAACAAACTGTTTTAAGTCAAAATAGGACAAGACTAATAAAAAAAGAACACTTCTATCTCATTCATCCCAACAGTGACCACAAAAACAGTCTAATTTTGTCTCCTTCAAGTTCTACCAGAGTGCAGCCTTTTGTTCTGACAGCTGCCAATGGACAGACATTCCTGTTGCAATCAAATCCTTTTTCCCTGGAACATTCGACTCAGTACCTCCTGTCATCAGACAGTGCAGCTGGCAATGGGGATATAGACCTCTACGATGCTGATGTTGAAATAATGGGAGAAAATATTTCACACTGAGGGTGGGGAGATCTTTTAAAATGTGATGGTAAAAAATGTAATTTGAAGGTGTTGTCAAGATTTTATCTGATTAGTCTTTAAATAATTTATTGGCTATGTATAAATGCTGATTTTTTTAAAAACTATTTCTTGAATTTATGTTGCTATGAATTATTGTACCATTATATTGAGCAAAATAAGAATGTTGTTATTCAATTCTTTATATATGTCTCTTGTGACGTACTGATTCTACCTAGATCAAACTATACTATGGGGTAAACTAGGATCAAGACGTTTTACTGGCAGCAAATATTGTCGTAAGTGACAAATACAAAGCTGTCATATATGTAGATTTATCTAGTGGGCACTAAATGTTGTCATATATGTAGATTTATCTGGTGGGCACTAAATGTTTTTCCCATCAAAACACTGTTTTTGACTTTGCAAAGTTACCATTTGGCTGGTATATTGAATACATTATTTAATCATCCTCATGGGGAATTAGAAGATTACAAAACTAGGTGCCCGTTATTTTGTGGCTTAGTACATTCTTGCTCTCAAGGGACAAAGTTGTTAATAGTGAATGACAATGACACATGCATAGTGAGGGTAAACAATAAAGGACTCCACGTAAAGACAATAATTTGTTTTGTTTAAACTAACCTGAAACTGAAATGTTAATGAATATGAAAGACAAGAGGTAAGTTTTTTTTGGTCAGTTCATATTTAATGCAATCAACATAAATAACAAATTATTATACATTATTAGAGTTAAAACAAGTTCTATTGACTAATATTTTATATAATAAATTGAATGACATGTCCTGTTATTACCCTTGTGTTAACACACTCAACAAGAAGCCTTCATTTACTGCTCTGTTTTCATCAATACTTTTCTTTTCACATGTTTTTTTAAACCTTACAAGAATGTTAGCAATTTAATATCCAGCACCATTTCTCTTCCCCACAATCCTATTGTGATAAACCTGACCTTTAACATGTACCGTCATGAGATACACTGGAAGTGACCCAGTGGTGGAGAAAGAACTTACAGAGGAGCAGTCCTATTTTCTTTATATTGTGGGGTGGCTTTTGGCCAACAACAGATTTTTTGTAGTGGAAGTGGAGCAGCAAAAATATTAGCTCGCCCTGTCGGGTTTTTGCCTAGGCCACTGGAGAAATCACATTGCATTGTTTTTTGGGTTGTTTTTTTTAAATATGTAACTTATACACCACAGAATAAGTCAGGTCGTTCAATTTATATTATAATTACCACGGGTATTTCAATAATTGAAATTTCAACAAAAATAAATTAACCTACTTTCATCACCTGCAATCTTCAAATTTTGTATTCTTGCAAATCCTGTAGGTCATTAACCTATATATAAATTTAGCCGGACACTACAGCTATATGCTAGATAGATAATCCGTTAACCTATATAAATTTAGCTGGACACTACAGCTATATAATCCATTAACTTAAGAAAATTTATGACATTTGAAGATTGTAAAAAAATCTTAAAGCATACATTTAATTAATCAATTATTATTGTTCAGTAGAAAAAACTGCCATTGGAACCTGTCTTGTTCATGAGAAACAAGATTAAGTTATTGACAAGGCAAAGATGAGAATGTTTCTAATGAATAAACCCAAAGAAGACATTAAATAACATTCAACAACCATAAATTATGATTAAGTCCACATGTCTTACTTTAGTGGTGTGGAGAGTATTTTCTCAAACTTTAAAATGTTTCTTAAGACTTGTAATAGTAACATGACAGGTATTTAATATTGATTTGAAACATGATTTGTGTGGAATTAATCAAACAAAAATGTTAAAGGCTTCTTGTGCGCAACAAAACATGGACTTTGTGCCAGTACTCAAAACGGGTGCCGAAAAGGTTATTTTCAAAAATGTTAAATATTTACTAATCAACACTTGTAACTTGTAGTATTCAAATTATGGTTTTGAATGTTAAATATACAGTACAAAAGAGCTGTATCAGTGTGACACATCTTTGCTAAGATAATTTAGTGATACTATCATCTTATACGCTACACACACAACTGAGATATTTTTATATCAGGATAATATTTAGCACAAGTATTCAAGCTTAGTGTTTGTTCTCAAATAGTAAACAAAAAGTAATACCTGAACTCTGCAGCAAAGTAGTTAATCTGTTCACACAGTTTTGTACATCAAAATACAAGATGAAGTCATTTCATTAAACAAGCATTTGTAAACAATGCCCCTTTACAGTATGACTATCCACCAATGAGCCACACTCTTCCTTACAGTATGCTTTTCCACCAATGAGCCACACTCTCCCTTACAGTATGCCTTTCCACCAATGAGCCACTCTCTCCCTTACAGTATGCTTTTCTACCAATAAGCACCCCCCTCCCCCCGAATTTTCTGGATTTTACAATTATAAAGTTTTTAATTCTGCTTATAAAAAAAATTAACAAAAAAAGTTTTTGTTCAGAACAGGGGTGGCCAACATGAGGCGCGCTGCGGGAGTCATGTTGCGACCCACGGAGCTACGTCAAATGAACATAACTGTTCAATTTATTGTACATATCAAAAAAAGATCATTAGATCATGAAGCATTCGTAGCAAATATTTTTAAAACCATAGCTAAGAGAAATTTGTAATACCGGGTATCTCGCATTTCTAGAAAAATTCATTGGTTTTGAGCTATTTTAAATACCCCGCTATTTGACACTCAAGGTTACTTAAGGTTTTGTTCCGACGCTTGGTGTTGATAAAATCTAATATGAAAATGGGATGAATGCACAGATATGGCAAATCCTGCCCAACTGGCAATTTTTTTCAAGGGTGTTGATTTCCATTTTAAAAAGACTGAAGAATTGACGGCACTGTATCTGATACTTAGTACGGTATCGAGATTTATTAGATGCAGTTACATCGCATTGAATGGCTTTTCGTTACAAATTAACAACTTATCGGGCAGGAGAGCTTATGTCCAAAGTCCCTCAAATGGGATCATGTAATGAAAATCGTTGTAAAAATAGTGATCTTCATTAAGTCGAACGGGTTAAATGACAGTCAGTTCCAAGATTTTCTAAAAGTCTTTGAATGATGTTAATACTCGTCTATAAGGGAAAGATGAATTAATAAGATATATCATCATTTTTCAAATTAAATTTGGTCTTTATTTAAGAATAACAGTTGAGGACAAAAAACTTTACTCACTTTCCTTCATTGTCATTGCCCCACACAGACGTCATTGCCCCACACAGACGTCATTGCCCCACACAGACGTCATTGCCCCACACAGACGTCATTGCCCCACACAGACGTCATTGCCCCACACAGACGTCACGCAAGGGGCTGTCAATAAATGCGCTTCTTTGGTACCTGACTTAAACCTCCAATATGAAAAACTATTTTTTTTTAAATGTGCTTTTTTGTGTATTTGCAACGCCCTTTGTGGTAGACGTGAATTTATTACCAAGAAGATCACAAATGGAACATTGTTAAATGTGTTGTGATACAAAGGAGAAATTTCATGAAGTTGGTTTGGAAGAGTTTTATAAAACGTATTTGGACCAGGATAAATATCCTGCGTTTCACAAACTTGTTCTTTTGATGGTTTCGCTATTTGGAAACACTTATGCATGTGAACAGCTTTTTGGTCGTATGAAGCTCATCAAATAACAAGTGAGAACATGAACTACTGATGTTCATTTGGAAAACTGTTTGCTTGTAGCGACAACATCAATCGAGATAAATTTTGATGCACTTAGTTCTTGAAAACTAAGCCAGATGTCTCACTTTTCAATATTTTAAAATTGTCCATTAAATTATTTAATAAACTTGTTTGATTCCCAGCTGTGTTTTATTTTCTTTAAATAAATAAATATACCTATTTCTTAGTTGCGTGGCCCGGCATGAATATTATTTCTGAAATTTGGCCTGTCTCCTGAAAAGGTTGGCCACCCCTAGTTTAGAATGTGTTACTTTATCTTTAACAAAACGGCCATCTTCTTTCATTTCTTTGTAATCTACTTCTTGTCAAATACTTATAACTTAATTGTAAAAAAAAAAATGTTAAACTATTTTGAAGAACTGTTTTTTTTACACAAAATCAATGCAGCATGGAAAAAACTAAAGAAAGACAAATGCTTAAAAACTAAAGATGGCTTTAGGCAGCGTGATGGCATCCTGAATTTTCCCCATCTCACAATGTCGGCACTTATAAAACAAGCACCATAAATTTGAATGCAATTCTTACTTCAGTGCTACTGTACCTTTTTATTTCTGAAAATGCCACAGTGCTGCCACCTTTTTTGTGCAAAATGTTTGCTAAAAATATGTCCACACCTGCACTTTATACATTATTTACATTGTTATTATACACAGTTCTGTGCATAATTTAGTTTTAACAGTTCAATGTTAACAAAATTTTCCTTCAACGCTGCTGGACTACAAGTTACCAGACTTCATTCAAAAAGCCATCATGCTATTAGAAATACATTTTTTTTTAAACCTCAAAGCACCTTAAAATGACAGTTAAGTTGTATTGCAATCTGTGTTAGTTTGTACGTGTCTTGACTTATTGAAAAATAAAAGTTATACTTAGGTCAAATTAAATTTTAAAAACCAAACTGTGTCTGTGATTCTCATAATGTGGTGAACGTACCACCAAGAGTAAGAGTAGTACATTATTTTGGAGTTGGTCGAAGAGGTGTAACAAAAAGACATACTCATAAAGATATTCCCTCTTAAGTTATAAAATATGTAAATTTAGCACCTCATTAGTTGTACACCCTTCAAAAAGTTTGAGAAGCACTGTTCTGGGTTTAATGAAACTGCAGTATTTCTTATGATTAATGATTTCAAACTAGAATTTTTATCAATCAATCCACAGCAATCTTCCAGTCTTCCTGGCTGAACTTAATACCAAAAAAGAACCCTAAATTGTTCTGAGTTGTGGCACTTGAGAAGAGCATTATCGTTTCAGCTGTTGAAGTTGAATTAGAGGAAGTGTCAACTTTCCAGTCAAAAGTAACCTCTTTGTTCTCTGTCTGCACACTGACCCGCACTTTTCTGTTAGGGAGAAGCTCTGCTTGGAAAGCCACAACTGATCCTTTCTTGATTTCTGGAAGCTTCATTGTGATCTCTTGACCATCCACAAACACACTGCCTGAGAACACACAAGAACACAAACCATTAATTCACTAATGTACTCGATAGAGTGAGTTGCATGGATTTTTGGGTGGGATAAAATGGGAGAACAAGCCGAGTAAGAGTTGGATGGATTTTTGGGTGGGATAAAATGGGAGAACAAGCCGAGTAACAAAAGTTAATATAAAACTCTTCAGAGTGGTTATCTAGCCTTG